CCATGTGGTTTTTTCAAGTTAGGTCACTGCTTTAGGATTGCTCTTGCTCTGCCTCTCCGCTGTTCCCAGGGAATTGACAGCGCTGTGACTGTGTCCCTACACGCACCAGTGCCAGGCAGGTTTCACCTGGAATCACAGAACACTTCCCTCCCCTCTCACACCTTGTCATTTCCCATCAGCTGGGAGCTGGCCTGATGGATCACCCTGCACAGCTCTGCTCAGGGAAGCAGGGAATGTTTCTCTTCACAAGCCGAGGAGAATGGCCTTGATTTGGGTCTTTGCACAGCGGGGGAGGGACCCGTGGGGAGGGATTTGCAGCAAAGGCAGTTGATACTTTCCTAAATTTCTTTTTTTTTCCTGAGTAAAAGTTTCTTCAAAAAGTTTGTAGGTGAAGCAGACAATAAGCACCAGAAACTCAATTTTGCTCTTACAGCGTTAAAAAACAAGACTTGAATTTATACCTAGCTTTGTTTTCCCAAGCAAAATCACAGATGTAATACAACCTGTCTTTTTTCTTGACAATAAAACCTACTCTCCCTTACTTCCTCTTCACATTTTAGATTTAAAATCTTAGTAGAGATTCCTGACTGACCAAAACACAGAGCTGCTCCATGCTGAAGGAATGCAATTGAGATGGCCACCAGTAAAGCTCAGAGGAGAATAAATAAAACACATCTGTAGTACAAACCTCTGTCTCTCAGGAAACACCTCAATACATCCAAGAGCCTTTTGTGCAAATTAAATTATTCTTCTCATAGTAATTCTTATAAAATTAAATAATTTCATCTGATGGCATGCAAGGTAAAATTCACTTCTTGTCTCTGCAGGTGAGTGGTTACTAGAAGGTCAATTTTCACTCCTTAAAAGAGGGTTGGCTTTAACTTAACATCATGATTACAGTCTGAATTTCTCTTCTAAAATTTAATTTTTCCAAAATCCCTGAATTAATGAAATACAAATGTAAAACATTTAGTCTTAACTTCTACAATTTCTCCTTGCTTTTTGTTATTAAATATGTATATAAAGATATATGTCTATCTGTAATGAATGCAACAGTAAAAGAGTTTATTCCTACTGATTTGTAGGCACACAATGCAATTCATGAATCTTATTTAAACTTTAGATTCACCAGTCTGGGGTAATTGAAGTTACCTTGGAACAGTTTGTACCAGAGCATCTTGGCACTGCTTTGTATTGCCAGGCAATGGAACACTGAAATTTGCCTCCCAATTTTCATCTTCCTCCTGCATCTCTCCAAGCATTCCTTTCCTCAACACCCCCTACAAATTGTCCATATCCTCATTCTCTGATGCACTTCCTTCCTTCTATTCTCAAGGTTTCCTTTTCCCTGGGAGCTGAAGAATATATTCTAATAGAACTAATGCATTTTCTTAAACATTTGCCTTCCTTCATTCCTGGGACAGGATTAAAACCTTGTTTGAGCAAAGAGTTGTGCCTGCTCTCCACCTGTGTCAAAAGAAAGGAAATTCCCTGAGGATACACACTGGGCCTCATTCAGTCTGGGGGCAGGTTTAGACTCCAAAGAGTCCTTGTACAAGACTTAGTGGGGTTTATTGAAAGTACTGCAATCTAGTGGTACTATATCCATTTTGTGATTAAAAAAAATAGCCAAGATAAATCACTTTTTTGTTGTAAAGGGCCACTTAAGAATCTTCTTTGACAGCTAATCTAAACCACAAGAATTATTCTCCTATAGGGATGCATTTCACAGACAAAAATTAGGTGCAGTAATTTGGAGGGTATCCCATATTTGTTTTCACATGCATCAAGAAGGCTTCACAGCTGTCAGAAGAGTTAATCTTGATTCATCCTTTGCTTCAGAAATGTAATGCCTGTCTCTTTCATTAAAGAGAATCAGGCCAGCTCTGCTGACACCATTTAAACTCCTCACACTCCATCTAATTTTTAATCAAAATATGTGCCATAGGTCCTACTAGAATCTCTGTGAGTTCTGTGTTGGTCTTCCTGCAGAGGAGGCACAAAAAATGGGTTATTTGAAGTGCTTCCTAGAATTTTCTTCCCTTGGAGGACTTGACACCTGCCCAGGTTTCTTGTAGGTATCTAAATTCAGAGCAGATGAGCCTTACCTCCATTCCTACACCTATTGCCCTTGGAGTATTCTTCAGCTCCATTATTTCATGGCCCTTCTAATCATAAAAATTCACTTTAGGACTCATCATTTAATTCAAACGAATTAAACAGTGCATCAATGTGGAAAGATAAAAGTGTTGGAAATGCAAAGTCTGAGGAAATGCAATTAGAGCATCCCACTTGACCAGTTCTTCAGTTGGAACTCATCACATTTGCACAAATCCACACAAACACAGGAGAAGGTGAAAAGGGTGAAATATTCCCAGGATGGAAATACTCTTGCACTGCCAGTTAGCAGCAGCATTAAACTTGAACAAATGAGCTTCAGAACACTACACTTCCATGTAAGTGTGAGACTGAGACCCAAAAACCCCACAAGACAGTGAAATATTATCCTTACACCCAAACTCAGTCTGTCTCTGATGTTTCAGAAGTCTTTTTTCTCAAAAAAGAAGCTGAAGGAATTCCTGGCACAAAAAAACAGGTTAAGTAACAGCAATTTTCTTCAAAGACACTGGTGATGTCTATCTGTGCCCCAAGAATGCCACCAAAAAAAAATAAAAAAGAGAATAACATGATTTCAGCCACTAACTAAAATGAATTAAAACCTCCCAAAAGTGCAAAATGGGATGATTACAGGTCACAATTTTCTGCTGCTTATGACACCAGATGAATTTCACATTATACAAAGGGTGAATATTCAACATCCAGAAAGCAATATGGAATAACACCAGATGGAGAATCTGGATGTCATTATAGGTAACATTTGCAAATGGGCATAACTCACTGAAGTACTTCAGAGATGGTGACTGAGTTTACAATTTTACATTTCTGTGTTTAGGAACTCTACAGGTCTCCATGCTATGATGGATTCATTAGGAAAATTAAGCACTTCTGAGCACATAATGATCTACATGGTGAACTGTGCACCATATTCTTTAGTTTATGCTGTTAGAAATCAAATTTTCAGCCTAAAGAAGCCCAAATACCCAACTATTTTAAAAGATTGAGTTGATGCATTGGGTGTTTTTAATGCACAATAGCCAAAAGCAACAAATATGAAAGTTCAGTATATTAAAAAGCCAGATACCAGCTGAAAAGTTATTGCACTTAATCAGTGATTCATAATAATGAAAACTTCCATCTCTAAATATTAATAATAATAAAAAAATTAACAATCCCCCCATGCAATATTCTATACAGAAATAGAAGAGCCAGGAGAACTTGTTGCCATTTATGAGCAGTTTATCCACGGTCTCCTTGTTCTGGCAGCTTTTCATCATTCACACTGCTCGTCCTGTGGGCACCTCCCTGTCTCTGTTATTTGAGAAATCCCTGTGGATCCTGTCCCTGTGCACAGGAGGAAGCACCAGCTGCAGGGGTCAAGAACACCCTGAAAATGATTGAAACTTCTCTGCTGTTAAATTGTGACAGAGGCAAAAGCAAACCGCTCCACGGGGCCTGTAACAACAGAAAGTGCTTCAACAGCACTTCACCTCGAGCTGCCAAGAGAGCTTGGCAGTGAAAAAGTACAAATTGGGGAAGGACAAGGAAAAAGTGGAAACTGGGAAAGCCTGAGTCCTGGCAGCTCAGAAGAGAAACTGCTTCATCTGATGGGCTGAGATCCAGGGAAAGCTCAGGCTGCTCTGAGCTCTGTGAACGAGGCACAGCGGCTTTGCTGAGGCTCCGGGGCTGTCTGGTGCCTCTGACTGAGTGTCCTGAGGTAGCCAGGGACAGAAAATCCTTCAGGAAAATGCACTGGAAAAGAAGTGTCTGCAGAGCAGGTAAAGGAGAGAGGGAAACCATCACATTCTGTCTCCGTGGTGAGCCCCCAAAAAGGGCTGCCTTCTATTCAGGCCACAAGCTGATCCCAAATATTAATATTGCAATGTGCAATGAAGTGCAGGGATCAGTGCCATTACTGAATATAACTCCACAGAAATAATCCCCCAATCTCACTCCCAGGGAATTGAATCCTAAATTTTTATGGTGGATAACAGAAACTGAAACCCAACAATAACAAGTAAGCAATTTCAGTGGAATTAAGGAGTCACAGGGAGGTCAAGAGCAACATTTTGGTGTGAATTTGGTGTGAAGTACAACACACAGGGTAAAAAAGAAAGAGGGGAGACGCGATTCAGTTTCAGGTTATAAATTGATTAAGAGGCAGCTAAAAGAGGCACTTAAAAGATGGGTTAAATTTTTTTTTCTTTACCAATTAACAAGCACAGGAGACACACCCCAAATTTCTGTATCTACTTGCCTACTAAAGATCCCCATAACTGAAACAGAAGCTGCAAAGTGTTTAAAAGATTTCTCAAAGCTGTTCTGTGGAATGAGTAAGGAATACACGATGTGTAACTGCTGCCGGATGTCGCTCCCTTTCCTCCTGAGCCGGGATGGGAAGCTGACAGGATGCTGGGGAAAGGCTCCCCTGAGAGCTGGTGTCTCACAAGCCACACTCATGGTAACCAACAAGCCAGGGCTGCACAGGCACTCAGGAAAATTCTGCTTTGTGGATGAAGGACTTGAGTGTGAGTGACAGGAAGAGCAACAAGAGCTGCAAATCAGACTGAGAGGGCCAGGTGTGCAATATTGTGGAATCCTGTGTATGCTGAGAGGGAGACTGGAAAACCCTTATTAAGTAAGAGTAATTAGTGGTTCACATACTACAAGTGTGTTGCACAGAGTATGGGATAGTAGAGATCACTTTATCCAAATACCTGCTTAGGAAAATGGAAATCTAATAAGGCAAAAGATGGAGTGAGATCAGTTACTGCTCTTAAGGCAGCTTTTCATATAAAACATAGGCCAAGCTGTGACTCTTCCCATGACATGAATAATACACTTCTGATTTTCTGTGTAATTAATATTGCATCTTGTCACAGGCCTGTGCACCAGACAATAACTGCCCAGCTCTCAGAGGGAGAAACAGAAGCCTTGACCTGAAAAGCCACCACAAAACTTATTGGAGAACACAGCTTTTGGTGGAAAACAATCAGCAAGTCAGGACACAAAGGACATTCCTGAGTGCTCTCTGCATAGTGAGTAACATCATCTGCAAGCGAGGCAGACAATGAACTCAACAAACCAATACAGAATGTATTTTCTCACAATATGTTATTGTCCTAGTTCAGGGCATTTAGAGTTATCAGCTCTAAATGTGACATCTTTTCTGAGCTAGAAAGTCACATTATTGTTTCATGATACAACAGCGAGTGAATCTGATTGAAATGGGTGAGGGAAGGGTGACTGGGGGAGCACTGGCACAGCAGCATTACAGTCAAGGTGATCATTTCAACGCTCTTGTACTCCATGTGTAAAGAAGATAAAAATGTTGGGATGATGCCCTTCAGCAAAAGATAAAAATCAAAGGAAAACCCAGGAGTTCAAATCCCTGGAGGGTGTTGATCAGTCCATAAATGTACTTACACAACTTTACAGCTGAGCAAGGGATGGTGGGTACAGAGTAATTACTCAGTTAAGGCAATAAGGAGTCAGTTCATGTTGTCTGCAGGAGCAGGAATTGCCTACCAGGATATACCAGAATACAGCAGAAAACTCAGTGCAGGAACAGAAAATGCATCAACACAACAAAGAGTGTGGACCTGTGAAACTTTCACTGTTAACTCTGATACAAGCTCCCAGTGATGGAGCTTTCCCTGTCCCCTACACCAGGTGGGGCAGCAAAGGCATCTAGATAATCCCAGGGAAGAGGAATGCTGGAATAATAAACATGAAGGCAAATTAAAAATGTCATTTCCAATTAGAAAAATGGAAAAGGAAGTTGATGGGGCGAAAGGGAACATTTGTTTTCAAGCCATCAAACTAGGAAAAAAGAAACAGTGCTAGGCAGAATGGTTTATGCAGCTCTAGAGGTAAGGATTCCATTAAGAGGAGAGATTCTGTGCATTAATTGGGAAGCCGCAGACATAATGAATGCAGGATGACATTTTGATGCTTCACTTGTCTTCTCCCCTGCCAATCCATCTCTCTGTTTGGCAATCTGTCACTACTGAGGATGTGTTAATCTTTGGGCTGAGGAGATAAATCTGTTTGGGCTCTTTCTGAGGATGGGGTACCTGTGAAGCACTGCAAAGAGCCTCTCCTAGGAGGGAAGAGCCACTGCAGTTGGCTGAGAAGAGGATTTATCTAGCAGATAATTCTCAGTGAAACCCTCGATGACTTCCTCCTATATTTACAGTCTAATTTGCATTTATATACCCTTTATTATCTGAACACCTCAAAATCTCCCATGTGCTTAACTAACAAATCCCTAATACAATTCAAAGAGCATTAGGGCAGTTTCATAAGAGATAAGCAGGGATGATGGTAATTCATGTTACTGGAGCTGGAAGGTTGGTACAGATACTCTGTGTTTTTTACAGGGTGAAAGGAAGGAGATGAGTCTGTGAATCCTGGATCAGCTGCTACCCCAGACATGCTCCAGCACAACCTGTGAAATGTGGTCAGTGTTCTGTGCTGCCTTCTCTTCACCAAACCTTTGATTCCATCAATTGCCTAAGGTCCCTTTCCTTGTGCCATTTTTCTGTGTTCACAGCCAAGGAAGGCTCCCAATGGGCAAGCAAAATTTTTCCCCATTTATTGTCTTTCCAGAAGGGAACCAGAATATGAAGCAGGCAATTTCACAGGACAGGGGGAAAAAAAAAGAAATAAAGTAAAAAAAAAAAGGCTTGAATCACACTGTAATTAACATGGTGATCATGCCAGTTTGAAAATCACTCACAGAATTTTATGATCCTGATATTTCCATCCTGCAAGGCTGTGAATAACTGTAGTTTAACAGATGCATCCAAAATGTACATATCAAACTGAATCTCTAAAATTATAGCATATGCACGTTCTTAATATAGCTAGTGAGCATGTGTGCATATGCACACATAGCCCAATATTTACTATTACATATAGAAAACCACATTTATTCATCAGTATAAACAAATGGATTACATCTACTCCATTTCCATATACTGTGATTAAAATTTATGCTGGCCAGGTTAGTGAGGTTACAGGTAACAGCTTGGCTCCTAAGTAATGCTCCATTTATGAGTCTGCAGATGTCAGAAGACAATTTTATCTGCCCTGTGGGGACCAGTGTCTTGGATCACTAACCTGTGGGCCTGTTCAGCACCTTTGAAGATGAATTCTCAGTGTAACTGGCTATCAGATGCACTGTAAAACACTGCTGTTGTGGTGTGCTTTAGGGTATCTGCACATTCCTACATACATTTTGTCTGCTCTATAATGTGAATTTGCAGAGCACATTTTGCAAGAGAGTAAGAAAGTGGGTGATGTTATGGTAGCACAGAAATCAGCTTTCCTCATTTTATCTCATCCTAATTGAGGGCTGTTTCTGTTGCCAAGTAAGGTCTGGGCTTCCTTGATGTATAAATCAAGGATGTTTGTTACACTAAAACTGGCATGTAATTGCTTGTCAGCAGTCACCTTGCTTTAAAAAATGTGAAAGAAATCAAAGGAAATGTAGAATATTACTGGAGACTGTCTTTGACAATGAATAGAATTGTGTGAATGGCTGATCAGGTCTGAAAGGGGAATATACAGTGAAGGGTTTTGGTATAAATACGTTTATATTTAGGCATGCTGAAAATATAAGCTAAAAAGTTTGATATTCAATGAAATTCAATCTTTAATCTCTAAGCTCTGTGTGTGTTTGGCCCTCTCCAAACCAAAGCACAGCAGTGGGGAGCCTTTTCCCAATGCTTCTGTGCCCAGGATGCTCAGCCTGGGCTCTGCCTAAGGAGACTCAGTCATCTCCTGTGCAGTGAGAAAGTGACCCAGGCACTCTGAAATGGGCTGATCTGCATTAGGCAGCTCCCTGTCTCTGCAACTGGAGCTGTTCCACACCTGGAGCATTTCCCATCCATCTTTGTAACCTATGCATCATCTCTTTTATCTGATGGAAGCTTTCAGAACGAGTCCCACATTGCCAGTCAAGCTCACAAATATGCAGACCACGTCATGGCAGCTCTTTAACACCTCTCCCCTTTAGGCTGCTCCTTCAAACGCTGTTTCATCTGAGAGAGACACCGTTCCCACAGGTACTTGGAGATACTCCTTGAAATTTAATAGCAGCAAGTGATGGCAAAGAGGAAGGAGTATGAGAGGTGTAAGTAAATAAGGTCTGTAGAAAGAGGATGAGAAAGAAACCACCTACTGTGAAAAGAAGCTTGATGCAAGGTGGAGAAGGACAAGTAGGGAGCAGGTGAAATGGGGGAAAGTGGGGAGATAGAAAAAATGAGAAATAAAAAAGGCTGAGAGACCTCCTTCCATTGTCAGCAGGGTAATATTAAGCCTGACAACCTTCTTCAGAGAACAACTTTATTTCTCTAAACCTGAGGCCAATCTGGAGAGCTGTAAAGTTCATTGAATGAACCAAGGCTGAGATTTTCTGTCCCATACTCAACAGGCTTAAAAAGAAGGATTCTTCTATCACATGAACATCAAAACTGCTTTTTCTTTCAATTCTTTTAAGGAGGAAGGCAAGAAGAACAGAATTCACGAACTTTCACCACCCTCATGACTCCACAAACTCAGAAGATTTTGTCACAATGTTAAAAGACAATGTAAAAAAGTTTAAATTTTGCCTTGACCACTCCAGAGCCAGGTTCTGTATCAAACCACGTCTGGATAAATCCTCCCCTTCCCAGGCACATCCATTATTCCACACAAAGCTTGCAGACCTCTGGGTCTCCACAAAAGAGATCATTTGCAGCTACAGAACTGCAGTTTAGGTGCTTAGTCACACTCCACATTCTCTTGGCAAAACCTCCTTCCAAACAGGGGCTGAATAATGGGAATTTACTGAGTCACTCCAGTCCAACCTATGGACTGTCATCATCACCCACAGCTCCTGGATTATGCAACTGCAGCAACCCTGTGGAACTCCTCTGTTAGAAAATGCTGATTTGTTGCAAGTGAGTCACAGGAGAAATGTAATGAAAAGTAATCCTTCCAGGGAACATCTTTCCCAGCTATTCTGCTACTGACTCCAGAGGGCTGCCAGACCCTTGAAAGCTCACCCACGCAGCACAGGAAACAATGTGGAAACAGGGCTGAAATGTTTCCCTGCCACTTTCTCTCCCTTTTGGATGTGCAGGGCTTTCTTCTCTTACCAAGCTCAGTACTCTTAACCTCCTGGGGAAGAGACTGCCTCACAAAAAACCTGCATTTTCTTCTTATTTTTGTTGTTTCTAGAAAGAAAAATCCTTCCCTGAAATAGGCTATACGTGATCTTTAATACACTCTTTAAATCAGGTATACTTTTGAAACTCTGATTTTGTTATTTCTGTTACCCTTTCTAGCAGCATATTTATCATCCTAAAAGGTCTCAGTGTAAGATGAACCCATCACCCACCTTGCCATGACTGTACAGTTAAAGCAAGTTGCAGCAGTCCCTCCGGGGCAGACACCGAGCATTATTTCCATCAGTGCCTCTGCTTTGCAGGGTGATTCTGCACAAAAACATTGTCACTCTCCTGACAAATGACTTGCATACACAAAGCCATTCGTACACTGCAAGCTTTGCAGACCACTGATTTTATTTCTCTCTTCATTAAAGAACACATTTTTCCCCCCATTTAATGCATTTTAAAGCATCTCTCTAATGAGTTCACATACTAAACATTAATATTTCTTTCAACACTTTTCCATTAGCTGTGTCAAACTGAATCTCATGTCATTTGTCATGTTGCACTGAGGCTCTGATAATTAAGAAATGTGTTGCTGCTGTTGCTGCAATGATGAGCACAGCTGTACAGGAGTGTTTGGTGGTGCCTCTGTGGCATTTCTGGCTCGGTCTGAGAGCGATGAGCGTGTACACGGTGCTGTGTGTGCACTGTGCAATGTCTCTGGGTGCTGCCATGCATTCCAAACACTCTATCTATGCACACCCCATGCATAATTCAGCCTGTGCTTTATCATGGATTTTCCTGGAGTGCCAACCTAGCTCATGAAGAGGGGAAGGGCAGTCAACAGCTTGTGGTGCCCTGTTGCTCCCTGAGATTTAGCATGCAAAGCACTTGCCTTTGCAGAATCACAAATATTTCCACAGCACAGACCTCTCTGGGCAGGTTTAAATATTGCAGTCTAAGCTAAACATCCTGACACAAAACATTTGCAGTCCCTGGCTTCTTAAATTTTTTAGCATCACTTTTGGTTGTTTTCTCCTCAGAGACCACAATGCTAACACACCAGTTAGCTCTGTGCTCTCTCTGCTCTCTCACAGGCAGTTCTACCTGGCCACCTGTCCCCACTCTGGGAATTTTTTGCCGTGGAAAGCAATAAATGTGGAACCACAGGGAGTGCAGGAGGGGGTGACAGGGGTGCAGGGACTGAGGACAGCTGGCATTGAGCCCTGACCCCAACAAAGGAGCTCTGTGGATGGGAAGAGAAGGGGACGGTGCAGGGGGAAGTGTTTGAGAGGCCACAGAGAACAGGTAAGGAGCCTTTCAGTGCTCCACTGCTCATTCCAGGGTGGCATTTTCTTGTCATCCTTAACCACCTACAGTACCTAGAGCAGCATCTTCTACAGGGAAAACATGCTCTCTCTAGAATGTCATCATCCTGAACTCAACTTTGCAGAAAGAAGCTATATATTGATTTTTCACACCCTTTCCCCAGTTCTATCTTCAGTCTATGGAGAGACACACTGCACTCTTCTCTGCATAGGAAGCTCACTTGTTTTCAGAGGGATCAGCTATTCACAAATGTGAAAATTAGAACTTAGGTCTGCTTATGGAAATTGAATTTGTCCAGAAAAGCTGTGGATGCCCCATCCCTGGGAGACTTCAGGACCAGGTTGGATGGAGCTCTGAGCAACCTGGGATAGTGGGAGGTGTCCCTGCCCATGGCAGGGGGTTGGAACTAGATGGTCTTTAGGGTCCCTTCCAACCCAAATTATTCTGTGATTCTATGTTACAAAGGGGAAAAAAAGGCACTTTATACTTTTTTGGTTTTTATACTTTACTACACAGCTGATCATTTGAATAGCAGTTAATTACTTCACTTTTCTCTCTTTACCTGATCTGCTTTCTGACTCAAATGAAGAATTAGAGGAGCAGTGCAGCATTGTAAAATCTGTTCCCCTACAAATGAAGCAATTCCCTTGTTTTAATAAGTGGGTTTGTTTGCACGTGGGGTTGTTCTGGTTGCTGGTGGTTCCTCCAGCTCCAAGGAAACTGGGTCTGTTCCCTGAGATTGATGGATTCTCACAGCCCTGGGCTGCCATGAGGTGGGAACGCACATTTTTTATCTGCATAATGGTAAATAACGACCCCTTTATTGCTCATTAGTCACACACAGTTGGGCTCATCTGTGCTGCCATCCAGCACCTCCAGGACTGCAGAAGCCAACAGGGGGAGGGAGGAGCAGGGAGGACACGCTGCTTGTGCTGCCATGGCTGCAGTTGGATGCAAAGCTGGATTCCAGGCTGGATTCCAGCACCTGGGCCGGTGGGAGGTGTCCCAGCCCATGGCAGGGCTGGAACGAGGTGGTTCAAGGCCTTTTCCAACCCAAACCGTCCTCTCAGCCCTGCAGTGTCCCAAGGTGGGACTGTCCCAGTGCAGCTGCCCCTTCTGCTGAGAGCAGCAAACCTGGGGATGCCACCTCTGGACATGGGGAGTTCCCTCTGCTTTCCTCCTGCCACCTGGAGCTCCTGAGCAGCAGGGACCTCTCTCAGCGCTGGCTCTGTCACACAAAGCTGGACACGGGTGGGGGACAGCTGGGAATGCAGGACAGTCCCAGCTCCGCTTTGGATTTCATTTGTTTTTGCATCAGGAAGGCAAATGAATCAACTCATCAGAGTGGGCTGATGAGAAATGTGCTTACCTGAGACAGGTAGAACGCAGAATAGATTCACTTTGCAAATTAGAAAAAAGCCTGAATCAGTGAAGTTTCTTTTTTTGCAGGAAGAATTCTCCCACAAACAATTGTGCCTTTTTAAAAAAATCATTTTCTGCAAGCTCCTTTGTCCACAGAGAGTAGCTGGATTCTAAAAATCACTATTCTTAAGAAAAAACAGCACCACCACCCTCACAGCTCTAATTTATTAGCATGTTATCCAGGAAGATCTCAGTAACCTTCACAAATCAGGTCTGGCTGCCACATGCCCTCCATTATGGACCTCACTAATATCTTTAAATCACCAGTGACACTGGTAACTTGATAATGTTCTTTCTGATTTACACTACTGCAAAACTGAAACAAGTTTGCCCTTTTAAGTAATTTATTTCCCCTTTTATTGCAGCTCCAGAGCAAACCCAAGATCTTCTCTGGCTTCCAGTAGAATGACCCATGTGTGAAAAATATCTCCCTCTATCAATAAACCCCAATTAAAATTTATCATATTCTTCCATGTGTCCCATTCATCAAAGCATTTCATTACATTTACATTCTTCCTACAAAGAGCTTGTGACATTTTTATTTAAAATAAAGTTATATCAGAATTCAACACAAAAAAATCAAAAAGAATTTTGCCTATTCACACTGGAAATGTGATGCTGTTGATTTAAAAGTTCATGTTTCCAAGAACACGTACATGTAAGAGTTATGCTGAAGACATTCAATTAACACAATAAATATCAACTCAAATTGTTAGATGTATCTTTTGTGACCTGATACCCATTTCTCACACTGCAACGTTTATTGTGCTGGAAAAAAATTAACAACCATTTTCAAATGCGGATTTGTGAAGAAGAATGCCAAAAAGCAAGGCCCAAATTGAAAATAATCCTTTGAGTATCCTATTATTGGACTGAATTCTTTTGATCTCAGGCCTGTGATGTGTCAGTCACTTCAGAGAACTTAAGGAAGTTTTACTGGTATAAAATTGGCATAGGATAAAGGTCAGCCTATTTATTTTTAATGACTGAAGTTAGATTATTTACTACTCGTTTTACAGGCTGAAAGTGCATTCTGCAGTATTTATTCCATTGGAAGAAACAGAAAAAAAGGGACCACCCTAATTTTTTTTTCCCCAAATTATACTCTGCAATTGGGGACAGCTTAGCAACTGCACCAATACAAGATTTAAATCCCACCAGGGCATTGGCTGTTCAAAGTTTGAGCTGACCATCACTTGGGGCTGGATGCTGAGAGGTGCTGAGCAAAGAGCCAAGATCCTGCAGGGAAAGGGACACAGATACCACATCCCAAAATTTACACACAAACTCTGACCCAGAAGTGGGAAGATGCCAGATCAAGTCACAGGAAGATTTGTAAATATCACTCTGTGTTTTGTTTTTTTTGTTGTTGTTGTTGTTTTAAATAGTCCTTTTAAATATTTCTTGGTCACTGAAGCTATGAAAATTCCATTCATTTCTCTGCTGTTGCCTACTTAATGAGGTAGACAAACATTTTATTATTCCCCTCTGATGAATACACAAGCACCAAAACCCAGAGCTGAACAGAGAAACAAACAGTAAATTATTTCAATCCTCTTAATTCTCTGCTTTTTTGGCAGAAATGCTGTAAGTCATTTTAGCTTAGCAGCCACAGATGGAAGACAGATTTCTTTTTAAACTTTGGAAATGTTAAAGCTGAATGAACTAACAAAAGACATTTTTACCTAAAGAAAGGGAAAATAAATGAAAAACTTTTCAAATATTACACTGGCTGTCAGATAATTTTCATGGGTTTTTTTGCCATGATTCTGAATACTAATTTTTTTGGGAGGACAACTTTCCCCTGTCCAATCGAAATGCAGGCAAGTCCCATGAATCCCAATAAACTGAAATAACCTTTTCCTCCAAACTCCTTCCCCAAAATTCTTGAAGAGTTGCCTGTGGTTGAACTGGAATGCATCTGGAAGTGTTTGAATTAAGTGCAGCTTGCCCAAAAGACAGCTTGGCTTCCTGCAGAGGTGTCAAGGATAAAAAGAGGATTGTGGTGGACAGAGCATTGTTGCTGTGAGTTAACAGGGAGCTGAAGCGACGCTGGAATACTCATCAAAGTTCCTAAGGGCTGCTCCCTTCCAGATGGGCAGAGAGTGGCTCTGAGGGCAGCTGAAATATCTTCTAGAAGTGTTAAAATATCTTCTAGAAGAGCTGCAGGACACATTTGCTGTTTGACCCTCCTGCAGGGAACAGCTCCATTTACCTCAACAACATCACCTGCACCAGGTGATCACAGAGTTTCACCTAAAGCACCAAAGCTGCAGCCCTGGAGTTACGAGAGGCTCTACTGCTGTAAAAAATCAGCATCTTGTTCATTTTGCTCTGCAACTTGAATATGTGTCATTCTGTGCCTACATCAATTTTTCAGGTACACTGTTAGTGTTAATTTTTGATTGGATGTGGAAGTGTCAACTCCCACGGGGTACAATTAATAACACATGCCAAACTGGGAGATAATAAATGTAGGAAAGTGATGCATCAGATGCTTGTATTTTCCATTATCAAGAACAGATTTATGGTTTTTAAAAATTATTTTCATTACACTTTTTGAGGAGAAAAAGGAATTTCATACCTTAAGGCTGTATATTCTCTTTATTGACTTGAAAAACCACAGAGGTGCAATGCCTAGAATAAAGTCTGCCCCACTGCTGGTGCCTCTGTAGATGTGTTGGATCTTTTCCCACAAAGCCCCACCCTGAACTGTTCCATTTTCCACATCCCTCCAGGAGCCCAGACCACCTGGCAGGCCTTTGGCTACGCTGGGGGTGTGCAGAGCAGATCAGCTGTGGGCAAAAACACGGGCTGCAAACTGAGGAACCACATGAGTTACACCTTCCTTGACAGCTGGGGCTGTAAGAACATGGTCCACTGGAGCCAAAAAAATCCTGACAACTCAGCTGAGAGCAGGAGCTGAGGGCAAGAGCACAGGAGTGTCAGTATTACACTGAGCTCTAAGTGTAGCTCTGACCCACAAGCGTGAGTAACAAAGTCTCATTGATTCCAATTAGAGAAGGCTTGGGTCTATTTACTGTAACTGAGTCGATTCTCAGAAAAATAATTAATTCCTTGTCATGTCTCACGTGTATTGATTTTGTAATTACAACGGAATTGGAGGCAAGGGTGCAGGGGGAAGGAAATGCACTTGATTTGTGTTTAATTTGATGCACAAGCTGTCAAGGACAAAGCGATTGAGACGCCGTGGCCATGCCCAGCCTGGATGCTCTCTGTGCTCAGATGCCGTGTGCCAGACGTGCTGGAGTGCAGGATCCAAAATCACAGCCTGCTCTGACATAATGCAGTGCACAGAGCTGGCTGGCTGCAGCAGCCTCCACAGCAGGCAGGAGAGATGCCCAGGGGGAAGAAGATAAGGACAGGACAAGATGAATGTCTATCAGTGACTAAGAGGAGCAGACAAAGCAGTAGGATGGGAGAGAAAGAAAATACAAGTTGTTGCTGATAATAGAGCTGCCAGTAGATAATGCAAGGAAAAACAAGGAGTGAGAGAAAAGAAAATACAATATGGCCTTGCTTGGTAATGATGCTGTTAGGAAAAACCAACAGGAGGGAATCAACTTTGCTTCCCATATAATTTCACTAAAATGGCAAGTTAGGGAGCTTTTACCCAGAGGCAAGTCAGCATTTGACTTCTTAACAGGTGACAGTCTCCTTTCCCAGACATGTTTGTGGGAGCAGCTGGCCTGCTCCACACACACAGATCTGATTGGAACATTCAGTTTCTGTACCATCACAAAGATATTGTCATCACCCACACAGACACACAGCCACCTCTTGGGCTCACTAAAGCCAATGCCTGCCCTGATCCCTGCAGGACCACAGGAAGCTTTTTCCAGCCTTTTGCCTAAAAGTACCATTTCAGGAAGTCTCCAAATCGCATAGGAGCAAAAAAGCTTTTTCTTATACAATAGCCCTGCAAAGGAAAGCTGCAAAACAGTCTCACATCCAAACACTAGAAAGAAATGATATATATGAGGGGAGAGGCAGAGCTTAGGGGTGTAAATCAGTCCTGAGTTAAGTACTTTCAGCTAACCATGTGGTATTTTAAACAAAATGAAACAAAAAAGCCTCCAGGACAGGGAACTATTCTGCATCCAGTTTGTGCAGTTTCTAAAACCTGTTACCTAAAATGACAGCACTCAAAGGCAAATTTTCTCCTGGTGCCCTACCCACACCACAGGAGAGGATGCTGCAAACTCAGATTTTGAGAAAAGCCAAGAAAATGTGAGAGGTTGTGGCAGTGTGTTGGCAGCACTCGGTGACACGATATCCTCCTGGCTGGGAAAGAGCTCTGAGCAAAGTCAGAACACAACAAACTGTGAGGCACTAATAAATAACCAAAAGGCAGTGATGGATGACAGCAGATCTGTCTCCAGTGGAATTATTGGTGAGAATACTGAAAATTCTTTCCCTCTTAATATATTAAACTCTTTGTTTGGGGCCGAGTTGATGCTGCCAGAGAAGTCTTTTAACACAGCCAGCATAAATTTCAGTGGGTGTTTGAAGCAGGAGAGCCTGGGTTGTTGAAAAAGCAGCCCCCAGAAAGGCTGCTGCCTGCAGAAAACACATCAGCCCTGCTCAGCTGGGAAATCATTTGATCTATTTAATATCATCCACCCCGTCACTGAGGAGGCAAATATGGGTATGAAATATGGACACGGAGCAAAACATAAAAAGAGACTTAATAAAATGAGTAATTATGTTTTCCCTAAACCCTCTCATGCAAGCAGGAGGCACATACCATCATAAATTCAGCACAGTGCCCGTTTCAGTGTGTGGGAAAGGGAAAGGCCCTGGAGCCAGGCCCTGTGAGCACATCCCTGCAAGGAGGGATGGACAGGGCAGGGTGAGGAGCTGGAACTGCGGCCAGAGGCAGGAGGAGATGGGAATCTGGAGCTGCTCTGTGCCCTCACACTGGGCAGAGAGAGAACTGATGAAAGAGTCAAACATGGCTGGCACAGCGCCTTTCAAAATTCAGCTCAAGTCCTCAGTGACAAATTTCCAGTGCTTTAAGCTACATCAATAAATTAAAATAAAAAATAAACTAAAAAGAACGAAGGACACAGCGAAACAGAATAATAAGAGTACCCAAGGATCAAGGAAAAGCTGGTGCTAGAAGCACTAACTGATTATTCTTTGGCATTTTAAATTCCAGTGTTTAAACTGCAATTCACAAGCCTGCTAAACTCATGATCCTACAGCACCAAACATAAAAATATGTATCCTATTTACACCCAAATGCCCACAACACCAAAAAGTTCCAGCTTATTTCTAAACATGTTTTAAAAAGATGAGTAGAAAACTGGAAACACAAACATTTTTATTTTCCCAAACTATTGTAAACTTCTGGCTATTCAGCCCTTAGCCTAATTTACTCTCTTCTACTACTACTTCACAGAGATGACATGACAACAGTGACTAACTCACAGCCAGCACTAGAATTCAAGCTGTAACACAGGCACAGAAACACTGGGACTGTGGACACAGACAAGGAATG